AAGCCCTAAAATTTTTAAAAAAATTTTTCACGTAAATCTTTCCGTCCCTTAAGCCCCCCCCCCCCCCCCCCCCCTGCAAGTTTGATGATGATTTGCCATTCGAGCTAATCCGATTTGTTTTCCCAAATTCTCGCTTCCTTCTCATGCTGAGGCTATTAGCACCCCCCGCCCACACCCGTGCACTTCCCCCTTGTTATTTTTTGCAGAGAATGAAGAAAAGTATTATTGGGCAAATCTCCACGTTCATCGCCAAGCACCGCAACTCGGATGCCTTCCAAAAGGCCTTGGAGACGCAGGACTTCCCGGAAGTACGTGGCAGGCGACCACGTTGAGACATGCTATATTATATATAGTACGTCAGCCCACAAACCTTTGCGGTGGCAATTTTTGGTGTCCGTGGAAGGCTACCAAGGCCGTACATAGTGCCACCGTTTGGAGGGCGCAGACTAGAAAGACGTAGTCAAGGAAATACCTCAACCAACGCATCGACTGTGCGTTAGAATACGCTGGGCTACGGGGTTAGATACAACGGCACCGACGGTCCCCCTGCAGGCAGGCACCACCTCCTGCAGGCAGGCACCACCTGACGTAACGGGTCCCTCGCGAATGCCGAACGTCTTGGCTTACACAGCCAGTCCCAAAGCAATTAATAGTATTCGCCACAAACCGCCAGCGCTTTTCGCCTCCTTCGCGCACACTACTTTAGGGCCGAGGCCACCTCCACAATCCCCGTCTTACTTTTACAGTGCTTGTAAGTTGCCTGCGTTTTCGTGACAGATGGAGTTAGTTTGCGGCCCTAGGTTCCACGGCGTAGGTTATTGAGACGCGCCTCCAGTTCGCTCATTCCGGCGTCTCCCCCACCAGCCCCTGGGGGTGCTGGTGGCTGTGGCCCTCCCCCACCTCCCCCGCTAGCTTCAGCAGCAGCAACGGGCTGTCTAGCCGCTTCCGCCGATCCGGCAGCCCCTTGCGCCACTCCAGCCGTTGGAGCTTCTGGTACCCCCTCATCGAATGACACTCCAATCTCATCCAAGACCTGACCACGAATATTGTCCACGGCAGCAGAGGATTAAAGCGATAATACATCCAAGGTTCTAGGCGCTTTCGCGCCACCGCCGAATTGAGCTACAGGGCAAAGATCGATGCAGTAACCCTAGGCCAGGCAGTAGGTGAAACATGCGCTTACCACTGCTGTGTTGCATTGTGTTGATTGGAGATGCACTTGATCGCAGGACCACCAGAGGAAGGTCGGGCACATCTAGACATGTATCTACATTTGGAAGAGCAGACTAACTTCAATTTTTACTGGCGCTTGCCGCGCGGCCGCCACCAATATATCTACCGTAGTACACCTGATGTAGGCCGGAACGAGGACGGACGCAACACTGCCTTGTTTGTCTGACACTATTAGTGAAGTTGAGTGCCATCAACGACAAAAATACAGACTACACCCTGGTCCGTCGTCCCTAAGTGACTATGGTAGATTTTCGGATCATTGCCGCTTCCCGTCGCCGCTGAACGAAGAGAAATCGATTGTCTTCTTGTTGATAGTTCAAAATCGGAATATTTCCAAAGGACGATATCAACGCGTTGCATGCATGCATGTAGTAGGCCATGACAACGAGAGCAACAAATAACCAACAGTGTGTGCGGTCGACGACAAATGAACGAGTAGGTCCAATAGACAGTGACGAGGAGAGAGACAGAGAGGGCTTGGTGGAGGACTGATGGGAAAGTTAGGTGTAATAGTGCCCATCCATTCAGGATGTCGATCGCTTAAAATGAAAATGCGTGAGAAAGGTAGAGAGTGTGTGCGGCGAGTTAGCGAAGAGTCGAATATATCTAAAACAGTGTCCACGCGTCCAGACGGGAATAATGGTGTGAATGTTGTGGGAAGACAGATGATTAACGAGTGAGACCATACGGCAACGAGAGTAGACGGCGTGGTGGGGAAACAAGGGAGTGATCGGAAGAAGAGGGTCTGCCCACGACGTTGATCGATGAAAATGGGTGCCCAACCCGCGGCGTGCCCATCATCAGTGTGCCCAGCTTGCAATGTGCACCGGAGAGCTACGCACAATCGGAACTTTCATCGAGAAGAGTGTTTTAGGGAAGCAACGCTGCGTTGTCAGGCGCCGAGAGAGGGGGGTAGAAGCGCTGAGAGGGCAGGAAAATCCGTAAAAAAAAAAAGAAATGGAGCCATTTCAGAGCTAAAACAAATTGAAGAAGACAACGTTTTTGTAAGTTTGCAGCACGGCACGCAATGTGAACGTGTCAAGTAATCACGTGTGGAAATGATCAAATATATAGTTTCGAACGCCACCCCCAGCATTTTGGCCATGGAGTCAAATACCCACCTCCGCTCTATCGCGTACATTTCGAAACAGAACGGCTTCATGCTGTGAACTCATTGCAGCAAGTCTTGCACGTGGCCCGGACGTCCGTCCCTCGTGTTTGTCTTCATGACCACGGTAACACGGGGAATGCTGGAAGCATTGTCGGGTGTGACAGGGACAACATACAAACATTTGCAATGCCTGGCGGTAACTTGTAGTGAGAACATCATCCGCGCGTACCGTCTATGGGAATGCATATGCACCAGTATTCGTTGCCTACGGGTGCAAGTCTCGGCAACGCATTTTAGTTTTAATCGAGACCCCGGCACTCTCATACAACGGGTTTCAGAACTGACCTGGCTGACAATCTGGTCTTCTGCCTCCGCATCGCCATCATCGGCAAGTGCGTCGTCGAGGGTATCACCGATTAGCTCCCCTGTTAGCTCCGACCGTTCATTCTCCCTCGCGAACTCCAGCATGATCTTCTGCAGCGCAGGTACGTTGACCTGATTGAACGATTTGGGCACCGAACAAAATAAGTTTTTCGTTGCGATATACACACATAGTCTACATGCATATCGCCAATCGACGAAGGTCACGATTGGTATCTAAATATATCTGCGCCTCCAAAACTAAACGAAGAGAACGAATACTCCATGTTGGAGCAAATGCCCACCAGTGCGGCCGCCCCTAAACTGCTAATAAGCGGGGATCTGGACTCAAAATAAAAAGACGGGCAACGGGACTTCATCAGGAGCTCCAGCACTGCTGTCCCTCGGCCACCCATTCCTTACCACCATAAATGTCTACCCTATCCTAAGCCGGTCGCCCCGGTGGCCTATGCAGGGTTGCGTGAAAACTGCGAGCGAACCTACCGTCAAACACAACAGTAGTGAAGCACGAACACAATTATTCCACGCCATGTGTCACATACAGCAGACTGGTAGACTAAGGTAGACTTGTACTTAGAATATGTGTTTTCCCACACTTACAGTATCTGCCCCCCGGACACGCAAAAGAAGAGAACAAACAACGGTATGCTCACCTGCTTGTTTAGAGAAACCATCGCCTTGGTGACATCCTTCATTGCACCCGCCATGGCTTCATGAGACCTGACAGTCTCGAGCTTGAGCCCCACCCCTTGAAGATGGCTCCTAAACTCGATGAACTTGGTCACATAATTCCGTGTTCGGACAAGGTCTTTCGCCAGCACCTGCACAGAAGGAGTAACACACAACGAGTTGTCTAGGACCATGCAACACATAGGAGCACGCTTGCCTGTGCAGAGGCTACTTGTATTTGCGTATCAGATACATCACAGAGCGAACACTGATGACATTTGATGCATCCTGACGTCCTGACACGGGGAGATGTCAAATCAAGGAAGAGGGACCGCAGACAAACTGCGCAGTTTAAGTTGAAGTTGAAACACTAGCAGGACGTTGTGGCGAGTTCGTCCAGTTCGCACCTTCACCGCTCCCATCTGTCCAGCCTTGGCATTCTTCTTGATCTCTCCAACGAGCTTCTTCTCTTGTTTCTCCAGGTTCGCCTTCTCCCTGTCGATGTCTCTCACTGCCCGGGTGATTGTCCGCTTGTTTTCCCTCAGAATTTCTTTCAAAGGCTTCTTCTTGCCAAAAACAGACTTGAGCTTGTCCATGACTCTGTATTGCGGAGGTTTTCAACAAGAGTTGAGCGAGATATCCGTATCAACCACGCACGTTCTTGCTCTTGTCTTGCTCTTGTGCTCTTGTCCGTGCGTGGGGAGCATTGCCCCGGCGGGCAAGGTGAGCTGGTGGTATTTTCCGTCGTCCACGGGGTGGCGGCTGTTTGTCCTGTCTGCGGTGCCCCGAAGCCCCACGAACCTTTGACACCTGCACCCAACCAATGCAACGCCGGCCAACCCACCACATTGCAACTTCTACCCAGACCAACGGCGGAACGGCGGAGTATTTCGTAGAAAATGTACATACATCGAAAAATATCAAAGAAAGTCGAAGGGGACGTGTTGAATAAACTAGACGAAGTATTGCTCTATAGCCACACTTCTTTGTAGTAGTGCACGTTTTTTTTCGCGTTTTCTCCGCCCAACCAAGGGAGAAAGGGAGATTGTTCGATGCTCACTGATTCCGACCAAAAGAAGCAGCTGCTGTGGGCGGCGGCCACAGCAGGCAGAACGCTCCATGACTCAAGAGAACAATGTGGACCATGTACATGCAGTTCTTTTTAGAAGTAAATTTTTACTGCTGCTATCTATAGCATACAAACGAAGCCCTCAATTCCGCATAGATAGCCGAACCCACACCTCGCTTTCTCATCGGGTTCAGCTACAATACACGTAAGGATAATGCGACCGTTTGACTCCTCTCAAAGCGAACCGTCTCTCGGCGCGTACCCTCAGTTACCCACTTGAGCCTGTTTGGTGGGTGACGAAATCGGCTGCGCGCTTGAGGTCAAGCACTCAGGTTTGATGAGCACACGCCGGCAGCCTATCAGCGAAGGAAAAAAGAACTACAGCACGTAAACTATTCTGTATTATAAGGTAAACAAGCTGTTCTAAACTGCTGCTGCTGCGGCGGCGGTCCGACATAACCAAGAACAACGTCAAATACGCCGGCCCTCCCCCCGCCCCCCCCCCGGCCCCCCCCCCCGGGCCCCCCCCCC